ATTATCTACCGACTTCAAACTTCGGTGGAATTAGCATGGTTGGACATTGGCCTCATTTTCTATCCAACCATTTCACTTATTAATCACTCGTGCAACCCGAACGCATTAATACTCATGAGTGTTAATGGAGTTGCTGGAATAGTAGCCTTTAAACCCATTCCAGCCAATTCAGAAATTTCAATATGCTATTTCCTACCTTATTGGGATTTACCGAGAGGTATGCGGCAAAATTTTCTTTCCAAAGGTTTCTCATTCCAATGCAAATGCGATGCTTGTGTTAAGAATTGGCGAGTTGTTAAAGCCCACAATGCATTGGCCCTCTGTCCTGGTTGCAAGAGAGGCAACAAACGCATATGCAAGTCAAGTTTGCCAGCCTTGAAATTCTACAATAAATTGGTTCACAAATATCTGCCGGAAATAGAAAGATTGAGGGATCAGAAGAACACCAGCTCCCAATCGATTGCATACATAACGAAAGTGATCAATCAGATTGACGCCTTTATTGTACCGCCATCTGATGTGTTAGCAAAAGTGAAAAAAGCCTATGAATACCTAATTAAATTGAGGTATAGTTCTTGGACCCAGGTACCCAAAGAAATGGCCCCATTTTAACAATTTGAACTGGCGTTGGCTTGTATTAATATATGGAGGCAAATATAAATAATTCACACGAAAAATTGCGCTTTTTTCTTATTTTTCTCAATAATCTGCGCAAATAATCTGGTTATTTTCATAATGATTGATAAGATTAGGATGGATCTTATCCGCAAAGACAATTGTGTAGAATCAAATCAACCTCTTTATCCGTTACGCCTTCAGCGTTATTTAATTATCCAACTTCCAATTTGTGTAAATAAAGATGTACATCAATTCGTTTTCCATTTATTACCTGTTGTTTTTGCCGAAAAGTGAGAAGTATAATTTAGATCAAATGGCAGGCGCTTTGATAGTTATCATTAGCCTTTAGTTGACTTGAGGCCCTACAAAGAGGAAGGAACATCGAAATGAAAAAAGTCGAAATGAGGGAGGGAGGGAAGAGAAGAGTGTTTCAAAGATGTAAAAGAGACGGACACGAAGGTAGAAAAAGGTGAGGTGATTCCTGTGGAAGTAGTGGAATATAACATAGAGTGGGGTCAACTTCCGGTTAATAGACTTTTTTGCCGTATGAGAATACGTTACCCAGGATGCACCACATGGAGGTAAGTCTATCGCGCACCCCCTGAGAAGCATAATCACTCAGAAATGTTGAAGATGAAATGCCTGTATCTCACTCAAAGTGTGTTGTAACTTCATTTGCCTCATAGATTGCAACTGCATCAAGGATCGACGAAATTCACTAATTTGAAAGAATGGCCTACTTTTCAATTCACTCCATCAATGTCATTTAAACTAAATCAATAGAGAATAGAAAAATACTAATTATGATTATCTAAATTCCACTCGAACCAATGATTTCCTATTACTTTTGCCAAAATGTGTGAAGCATAATTGAAAGCGTTACTTGCAGAGATTTATCCTCTGTGTTCTACCTCCTCTTGTCCATCACTACTGCGTTCAATACCATCGTCATTGAATTAATTAGAGTAGACCACTCTAGACTGGAGGTGATAGTTAATCATCTAGATCAGCTATAAGATCGCATCATAACACAGCTAGTACGAAGATGGCGCCCACCTATTTGCAGAGGTAATGGACTTGTGTGAATGTGACCGTATCAACAAGAGTGATAGAACTACGCCACAAGTAATAGTGAATAGGGAGGGGTGTGTGATAGACTTACCTCCACGTAGTGCACCCTGGGCAACGTATACTCATATGGCAAAAAAGTCTATTAACCTGCAGTGGACCTCTGACTTCAAACTACCATCACTTTAACTGGCAGTTGACTTCTGACTTCAAACCACCATGACCTCACTAAACTGGCAGTTGACTTCTGACTTCAAATTGCCATCACCCCAAAACCGGCAGTTGACTTCTGACTTCAAACTACCATGACCCCCTGGGTAACGTATACTCATACGGCAAAATCTATTTGTGCGCCCTGGGCAACGTATACTCATATGGCAAAAAAGTCTATTACCTACGCCCTGGGCAACGTATACTCATACGGCAAAAAGTCTATTAATATGGCTATTGACTTCTGACTTCAAACTACCATCACCCCATTGTATGGCAGTGACTTCTGACCCCACTGTATGTCATATTCGACTAAGGCAGTTGACTTCTCACTTCAAACTACCTCCACGTAGTGCACCCTGGGCAACGTATACTCATATGGCAAAAAAGTCTATTAACCTGCAGTGGACCTCTGACCCCACTGTATGTCATATTCGACCACTTCCACAGTACTAACATCTCAATTTTTCTAAATTTTCAACCTTCGTCTTTGAAACACTCTTCTTTTTCTAAATTTTCAACCTTCGTCTTTGAAACACTCTTCTGTTCCCCATCCCTCGACTTTCTGTTACTACTCTTTTACATCTGTAAATCACTCTTCTGTTCCCCATCCCTCGACTTTCTGTTACTTTGATGTTCCTCCCCCTCCTTGAAGCCTAAAGTCAACTAAAGGGCTAATGATAACCATGAAAACGCCTACCATTTGATATAAATAAATACTGAATAGGGAACACTAGCTATTATCGAATCAATCACTTTGGCTAGATGAAGGCGGTCGTGATAGGACAAAGTTTTTTTTTGATCTGGCACACAGTTACCAATCAATCACAAAGTGAATATATTGAAGGTACACCAGGTTTCTCTACAAATAAAAGCGTCTTTATCATTTCTCCCTTATTCCACTAGACATTTTTTACTATGGAATCAAAGCATTTAATGTTCCTTCTAAATGCATCAAGTTGCCTAGGGCGTCTGTGAGGTGCCGGGGTGTCGCGCTAACATTAGTACCTGAAAATTCCGCCACATTTCCCAACTTGGTAGTAGTCTTCATTGCCAACAAATGCAACCGGTGTCGATAAACTCCTTTAGATACTTTGTGTCACCTGCGATACACATATCTATGAAGGTACTAAAAACAGCATCATGTTTCATATTTTGCAATTGAAATATTGAAAATATGTGCGCATTTGGTTTGCTAACCTTCCATTCTGTTGAAGTACTTTTTGAGGAGAATTTTGATCTTGAAGATTACTTTTTCCACTTAGTTCCCAAAACTACTTATTCCCCATTTGCCTTCGCCCTTCAACGATGAATAATAAGACTATGCGCGAATATGCCTACTCTCAGATAGCCATTTCATTATTTTTTTGTTCATTAATCGATTAGAAAGCCTTAAAAGGTTCAATTTATGAAATCTATAATTTTTGGCAGTATACTACACTGATAAGCCTTGATTATATTCAGAAATCTCTATAATTGGAAAGACTCTCCGAAATAGCTAAGCTACCACAAAGCTATGGAGGAAAGAGACGCTTATTTTGGATGTCCGTATGTGGTGGGCGTGCGTACAGACAAGGAGCTTAGTCATTTTATTGATAATAGCGGGTTTGCTAAACCAAGCGAGTACTATTGGTTAACGGTTGGCTGGGTGTTTTCCGTGCTCACGACCGCACTTATTTCCTCGGCGAAGTTGCATGGCCGCACATTCAAGGCTGTCTGGGTGCACATGGGGCTACATGGTCAGTGGTGACTACGTTGTGTGTTCCTTTATTATTTAGACAAGACACTATAAAGCAATCATAGTTAAGTAAGAAGTAATATGCGAAAAATCTGTTCATAATACTGAGATGAAATAAAATTTCACATATCACACTGTTTTTTCTATATTTGCCTTCCCCCCCCCCATTGAACGTGCATATAAAGTTCGCAAAAGTGTTTCCTAATTCATTACAAAGGGTTTGGAGTACGCAAGCCTATCTCATTTGTCAGAGAATATTCTGGAAAGCATTTCACATGTTTTCTTGAATGTTAGCCACGGGTGTTAGGAGGAAGTGCTCTAGAGCCACACTAATGAGAACATCGCTTTCTACAGCCTTGTGAACTGAGTGTTGATCGGAATGTAGATCATGCATGCAATAAACACGAGATAAGACATTTTTTAGCATTACTTTTAGAGTTCACTTCAAAATTGGCGGGTTAAAGCTTGAAATAAATTCAAGTGCTACGGTTAGCCACACAATTAAAACAATATCTAAATCATATGGGCATAGTCGCAGCTACGAGTGAGGAAGCCAATTTACAAAACAAAGCATTAGGGCATTGTTAATGCTATATACCCCTTCCCCAATGAAAGTTTGAACAGCTCAAACTACCTTAATGCAAAGAGTGTAAGATTGTCCTATAGCCATTATTTTAATAGGCCCCAAACGTTATTCCCTCTATTCAGTTGTTTTGTTAGTTCAAAGCTAAAAAAGGTGATACGGCATCGTCATTGGAAATACTGTCATTGGCAAGGTATGAAGTGGTGTGAATAAGATCAGCAAATTCAATCCGGTTAATAGGAAGCTTAAGAATGTATAAATCGCAGATTTACCAATAGAAGCACTTAAGACAGAATATCGGAGCCCCCCCCCCCCTTTGCGTTTCAATGACAAAGAAAACAGTTTTCTTTTGTTCTCTCAGTAGAACAGCATGTTAACGTGCAAATACTTGAATTATGACAAATAATTTATTCAAAATTAAGGCTTTCTGTGGCTTTACTTTAATTGGTGCAATATTATTGCCAAGGTCACTGGTACGGGTATATATGGTTCAAATAAGATACAATTATTCATTAATTCACTGAAGTTAACATGCAAGGTAAGGGATAAATTTAGCGTAATTGGTATGCTTCTTTTAAAATTATGACAAGGGTGTTGTTTAACTTTTTAGAAACGGGAGGCTGTGGTTGCTGCGAGACTTGCAAAAATAGCGGTCAATGCAACTGCGAGAAATGCGAGCACTGCAAACATTAAAGTCACATACTGAATTAATATTTATTTAAAAAAACGTATTTTTTCCATATATGTTTAAATAAAATAACCTGTATTTCAAGAGCCTTACTTAGTTTAATTTCAGAAGCACTTATTTGCATGCTTTATAAGTGGCGGCATATAAATTAGATGATCATAAGTTTAACCTTTTAATAATAATGTGTTAGAATAATTACATTATATTAGAACATAATATTTATAATATATCCCATGGGTTCTTGAATTACCCCTGAGATTGAGATATTTATAACGTTCTGTCCACTACATTTGCATGGACCATTCGAATTCGAGTTCATTTATGACCTAGCAATTAGGTGAAACTTGTGTGCAAAATTTGTTGTCTTCTTTAGGCTAATATTCTTGTAATATGTATTCCTAACTACAAAAACGAGTAATTTGTTTTTATCTTACAGTAAGTCCGAATTCTATTCTAGGTTATTAATCCACATTTTAGTTAAGTAGACTTAAGTTAAATCGCTTACTTTAAAGTTCTAAGTTTCTTAGACTTGATCACCAAAAGCAATTTATCTAACGGAAAAGTCAACTGCCAGTTAATAGACTTATTTGCCGTATGAGTATACGTTGCCCAGGATGCACCACGTGATAGACTTACTTGCCGTATGAGTACACGTTGCCCAGGGTGCACCACGTGGTGCCTTATGAGTATACGTTGCCCAGGGTGCA